GTTTTCAGGTTATGTGGATAGAGAGCAAGCCAAACGCCTGATACAGAACTACAGCCTCATCTTTGATCTGAATATGAGTCCCCTGAAGGTCAGCGAGGTCACGTGTAACACTCAGCAAGAGGGCAAAGTTCACCTCACCTCGACTCTGCGGCAGCTGAAGGAACTATACACCTCTTTACCTTTCACTTAAATCTATGCAAATGCTACAGCCTTGCAGTTATCTTCATTAAATGCTCTGTCTGGGAAACATTAACAATGACCATGTATAAATTAAATTTTTCCAACATGGAAAACTTAGTGAATCTCATTTAAACATATACAAGTTATGTTTCGGCCGAAAATGTAAAGTATAAAAAAGAAAAGGAATTTTTTTGTATAATATATTGTATAAAGAAATGTAATCCTAAATGAATCATATCCTAAATAAATAAATGGTCCTAAGAATAATCGTCATTTTCTTTAAACAAAATATTATTTCTTATTTTCCTTTAGATTTTGAACCTGGACATTTCTTGTCAGGTTTCATGACATTAACGTCCCCCTCACTTTCTGCAGTTTAATCGGTCAACAATCAACTGTTTTTTTTAATCCAAATTTACTTTTGGTGCTCCAGTGTGCGCTAATAGTCATTTCTGGTTCATAATTTCAATATTCAAGCAAAAAATTGTTGCAAAAACAGGAATAAAAATTGACTTTTGGTGCTCAGATGTGTGCTAATAGTAATTTCTGGTCAATGATTGCAATATTTAATGCTTACTGGTGCAGGAATACACAGATGCACATGCATGATCTAAAGAATACTTCTGCAATGTTTATAGGCACTGAGTGTTGCAAACAATATTTATCATGTGCAATACTGCAAACGACCAAAAGTAAAACCTTCTTACTCACAATTAAAAAAAAAAAAACAGAATTAAATAAATAAATAATCGTATTACCTCGAGGAATATAGCCTGTCTTTCTGTGATCCATGTTTCTTCATTGGACTTCAGGAGACCAAAACATGTCACATCACCCATCAACTGCTGGCAAATAGTAAACTGATTTAGACTGAGGTTTGCAGACATCTGAAAAGAGGAAAAGAGCTGTGTTTGTGTGACTGAGAACTTGGTAGCCTATGTGGCATGCGTATTTATTATTCGCGCAATTTCCTTAAATGCGGCTTGCATTAATATGACTTCTCATATTTATCTCAGTTGTAGAGTCATTAAACACATATGACATATCTATAATGTCTTTCTGTGCTGTTGTCTCGATATATAGACGGTTGTACTCTCAAATATAACGAGTAAAATAAAACACGGATATCCAAATATGTCTGAAAGATGTAACACAGTGGTTCAACCGCTAGATGGCGCACAGCCGACAAACAAATCACTACGACGCTGTAGGAAGACAAACTCAGAATCAGAATCAGAATCAGAATGAGCTTTATTGCCAGGTATGTTTACACATACGAGGAATTTGTTTTCGTGACAGAAGCTTCCACAGTGTAACAGAATGACAGTGACAGAACAAAAAAAAACACAGATAATAAGAAATAAAAATAAATAAAAAATAGAACAAGTAAAATAAGGAATAAAAAATATACAAATCGACAATTGTATGTAGGCCTACAGGTATATAACAATAGACAGTTGTATGTACAGGTGCAAACTTCAGGAGCTTGACAGAGGGGTCTTTAGAGGTGCAGTCGTTGGTGTACATTGGTGTCGTTGGTGTACAAACTGGACTTTAAATAAAGTACAAACTAGGTCTATATTAGTATTGTGAACATGAAAGTGATATGTTACTTACCCACAACAAACTTAAATCAGTAATTGCATTTAAACAAGCAGCTTACGCACTTCAGCTTAAATATAGTGTAATGTTTGTAGCAATCGAAGCCCTGACGACTTGGCAATCAATTATCATACTTACTACAAGTACTTCAGATAATCATAGTAATAATCATAATAATGATAGGTAACTTATTTTAGTAACTTATTATTAAAATTAGAGTTAAACGAGCATAATATGGCCTTTTTCGATCACCTGTTTGTTGACGCTGGAATGCGCATGCGCATTGGCAAGACCAGCCAACAGTGTGAACATGTGTGAAAATGTAAAACTCTTAACTACGATTTTTAATTATGAACTATTAACTTTTGTATTTTGGCAAACTATGAAACTGACACATAATTTGGGGGACGAATTAGTATTTTAATTTCCCAAATCAATTATCTTTGAAATGCTTGAATAAACTTTCAAGCATTTAATAAACACATTAAGAGTTAAACAAAGTTTAAAGGTTGTGTTCTTATGTAGCAAGCAACCTGTAAAAACTCCCAAACATATTCATAGCTGTCAATTAACACCTACTTAAAATAGCCTATGCATCAAAGTGACAGACTGAGAAAAGGAAGTGTTTACATCCTATTTCATTTGCCACTGCTAGTCTAGTGATTAGTGTAAGTTCACTCTACACACATGTACAGTAGATGTATTTTCATACTGGTGTTTTTGCTGAATCTGTCATACTGTATATCTGTATCTTTTGCATACTTGTCAAACATTGCACTCTGAACACATACAGATTTTATATTCTACTTTTATTGTAATTTGTAGACAAGTTTTATACAACAAGCCCCCAGACTGTGCAGTGTCTTCAATGATAAAAAACATTTTTTGAAAACTGACGTAGAAACTGTGACGTCCATATTCTCTGAACTGTTCCTCATGGGACTTAAGGGTTTTTCACTAGAACTTTAATTACAGTATGCCATGCCTCAAATCATTCTCAGATTGTATACCTTGCGAGGAAGTGAGACAATCAGCCTTATGTTATGAAAAACTTCTGTCTGTCTGAACTTCCTGAGTTCAGACGTCATTGCGCTGGGATCTGACTGATTAGATCATTGATCTCAGAGTATTTCTTCTCTTCCACAGTACTCATGCATGTATATTCCAAAACAACTTCCTTGAAACATGGGGATTTCCTCCTGCTGTCTGCTGAATCCAGACCTGGGCTTTTTTTCTTTTTATAGGGGAGAGCCCTGCAGCAGGGGAGGGATTCACCAGGGCCTGTAAAACTCTCATGCTACATACTGTTCACCTTCAGTTGCTGGTCCCCACTGATTTCCATAGCATGGAAAAAAAACACACTATGCAAGTCAATGGGTACCAGCAACTGAAGGTGAACTATCCCTTTAAGTTTTAATAATTTTGTTATGTGTTTTTATCATTTTTAGTATTTTTTTAATAATTCTATTTAGCTTTAATTTATTTTAATTCAGTTTGAGTGAGTAATTTAATAACCATTTTTCATTTAAACTTTTTTTTCAGTTATTTGCCAAGGCAACACTTACAATTATCGCTTTATATTTTTAAATTTAAGTTTAATTTTTTTATTTTCTATATATATATATCTTTTTTTTCAGCTTAATTTCAAATAATGAAAAAAATAATAAAAAAATGTATATTCTTCGTTTTAGTTAACAACAACACTGTACTATATAACAACTGTATATTATTTATACTGCATTACACAAAAACTAATTTTCACTTACTTAGCACATACTGCCATTTTTTTATTTTATTTTTTTATTAATTGTATGTACAAAAGCACATTAGGCTACTCAAAAGCAAAATTAGGCTACATTTTGAAGTTTGCTAAAGTCACACAAGGTCACTGCACTGACACAACACTAAATGTTTACATCCTCCAAAAATAACCTACATAAATTTGAGACAGTTTCTGTTGTTTTAGTAGTTTTAGTAAAGTACTAAATGCAATGGCCGGCCGTAGTGCTCAGCATTTTTCTGTTTTAGTCACAGTAAATGAACTATGATTTTCTGTTTTGCTTATGAAGATGCTAAGGTGACATTAATTCGGGTAATTAAGTAAATAATTAAACAAAGGTCATTTTCACGTAAGAGATAGGCTAGGCCTAGGTTTTGGCACTGGTGACGGGACTCAATAATAACAATAGTGTTTTTGGTCTGGAGGAAGTGAAAGTCAAGCTGGGAAGTTCTGCCTGGTTAAACGACATTGTCGTGGAGTTAGACTGACAGATAAACCAACTTCATGTTATAACCTGGGCCTTTTTTTAATTAATAAAAGAATTGTTTATATTATAGCCTAGGCTATATTGATTGAAATTATCTTAAAGGTCCCATATTGTCAAAACTGAAATTTCCTGGCTTTTTTCACGATTACTGAGGTCTAGGGGCTATTTAACTACCATGTAAGTTTCAAAACAGTCAGTCCACAGTAAAATGCACACAGCCTGCATAAGTAAAAAATCTTTAATCCAGTTAAACATTCTGCCTTCAATTCCTAATTGTTCAAACTTTATTAACAGCCCCTCCTTCCAAAGCATGTCGTATGCTTTTTCAATGTCAAAAAAGATGCCTACTACCACCTCTTTATTAACTTGAGCCTTTCTTATGTCTGTTTCTAAACTAAGAACAGCATCTAATGTACTTCGTCCTTTACGGAATCCACTCTGATGTGGTGAAATAATTTCTTTCCTTTCTAACATATAGTTTAATCTACACACAATCATACGTTCCATTAATTTACACAAATTTGACGTTAATGCTATAGGTCTATAACTGTCAGCATTATGCTTGTTCTTGGCTGGCTTTAATATAGGAATAATAACCTCGTGTTTCCATGAAGAAGGAATCACAACAAGATGATATTTTAACCTCCGCCTAAAATAAAACTCCAGAAAGGTGTACAATATGGGACCTTTAATGCTTCTTTTACAGCTTTCCGGATCTCTAAAACGCAAAATATTTCTTAAAATAATATAAGTGTAATAACTTTACCAGTTGTATCATGCATTAGCCTATCAACAGCCTCAATGCGTCTTTTTCTCCTCGCACTTCTTGGATCTTTGTTCTGCAGTAAGGGGCTAATGGATAGCATAGGGAAAAGGGAAATGGTCACATGTCACATGTGGGCGTGTCTGCGGGAAGAAATCCCCTCTCGCGACTGCCAAGCGTTCGTTTAAGATCTGCAGCAGACAGGTCAGTGTCTTATATGCCTGTGGGGAGTTAACAACTGGTAACAAGGATCTGTTTCTACAGATATTGTCATCATGAGAACAGTTTTCATTCTTAGTTCGCTGGTAAGTGATGTGCTTAACCCTTTCGCGTGCATGTTAACTACGCACGGATATTCATGGTGGTTATTATATAAATTGATAATATTCATTGTAACAATGAATCCATTTATAGTTTTCATGTGCAGCATTTAGAACGTTTAGATTGTCGTAGTTATTGAAAGAATGACTCGTGTGTTTGTCATTACATTCACTTTCGCTTTGAATGCGCATTGGTATTGGAGAAGCATTTAAAGTGCCTGCATCTAAGTGACATATGTAATATTTGCATTGTCTGTTGTTTAATGTGCTAGTGTAAGGTTGCAGTCTTCTGTATTAAAACAATCTGGGTGGTGATCTCGGGGATTTTCCGCACTGTCACGAAGGTCGTTTCGGTTTCAAGACTCCACCCATGTTCTGTTTTGGGGTCTAACGAACCTCATATCCATTTAAATAGCTCAAAAACATACTTAACATTGAAATATAGTGTTCATTGATATGTTGACCTGTAATAAATTTGATACACGCCAGGGGCGTAAATATCGTCTAACAGTAGGGGGGGACAACAAACATAAAATTTCTCAAGAGCAATATTTGAAGGGGACACAATACGCGCGGAGGGGGGGTATGGGTGGTAGCATATTTTCTTTTTACACTAAGTGAAAATAGCAGTATTTGTTTTGTGATATGCTATTTAGACTAAGTGCGAACAGCTATTTATACTATATTAAAATAGCAGGATATTCTGCTAATTACTTATTGCCAATAGTGGCAATTATCTGCACCTCAGCATTGTAATACATTATAAAACAGTATGCAATAATAACTTATTGAGTGTAAATTTTACTTTGAATTCAAATTATTAAATGGATGCCACCTTATTGGGACAAAAGCCCTCCCTACACCTACCCTAACCCTACCCGATACTTTTTCAACTTTTTGATTATTTCCTTCATTTTTATTAAAAAATAAATGCTTTTCTGATGTGATTTGAAATTTGAAAAGGGAGAAAAAACTGCGCGATTTTTACCGGGGGACCCCTCGAAACGCGGTTAGTTTTGAGTAGCAATTGGGCGGGTTTTGTTATGAAAACCTGGCAACCATTTCCCTCAAGCAGGTAACGTTATTATTGCTAACATAGCGGATTTATCGAAAAATACATTAGCGTCATCTGTATTAAAGAGTAACTAATCACTTCATCCGATGTTTAAGTGAAGAAATTAGCCTTGACAGCCTTACTTACTGGACTTCCTCAACTATTGGCTTTGTTCTCTCTCACCGAACTTGTGTGTGTGTGTGTAGGTGATGTAAAAGACGTAAGCAGACATTTGGACCAAAGTGAGGCAAGGGAGGGGGAGACTCAAAATGTTTCTAAAACTTAAAACGCATTTTTGCCCCGTTTGTGTTGTTTTACTACTTACAATTGATTAAAGTATAAAACATTGTTATTTACAATGCACAGCATGGTTTTTAATCATATTTTTAGGGGGGTCAACCCTCAGATGGGGGGGTTCCTTCCCCTCCAACCCCCCCGGGATTTCCACCTATGGCCGTGACGTCTGCTGGTGTTGGTCCATTGTGTTTTATCAAGTCCAAAGTCAATG